AAAAGAGAGCAGTAGCGACGTAGACGAGGGAAAAGGGCGGGTACAGATAGTATCCCAGATGACAGGAAGCCATGAGGCGACAGTCAAAGAGAGGCGAGCACCACTGCATGCAAGAGAAGCCAGCTACACTGCATAGCTTGTACAGCCGTATCCCAGATGACAGAGTGTCATGAAGTGACAGTACAAGAGAGGCGAGAACCACTGCATGCAAGATAATCCAGCCACAAAAAAAAACGTGCACAGCCGTATCCCGGATGACAGGACGCCACCAAGTGACAGTATAAGAGACCCGAGAACCACGGCAAGCAAGAGAAGGCAGCAAACTACAAGAGACAGCTGCAAACCTCACCGCTGCCACGGACGTCTTGGGCTTCTTGCTGGGGACGATGTTGACCGTGTCCCCGTCGGAAACGCCCGCCTCTTCCAACTCCAACTCCGGCTTCAGAAGACTCCCCTTGAACAACACCGACTGTCACGCCGCAGCGCAGATGATGTTTACAAAACAGGGTACACGAACAACGACGATGACGAAATCCCACACGGACGGGAATGGATGGCAGGGGGGCAGCAAGGGGCACTCATTTTGTTGCTCGACTTGGTCATTTCGCTTCCCCACAATTCCAGGATCTTTCCTTGCATGAACCCAAGCCTCTTTTCTCTCCCCTCTCTTGTCTTAACGTGGCATGTGCAAACACTGTCTTCGTATTCGGGCCCAGACATGCCCACACGCGACTGGAAACAGGCTGGCGGTGGCTTTCAAGCGCTTCAGGACGAGCAACAGCTTCCGTGCGACCTGGGGGTTCGTATTTGTTCCGTCTGCGGGAGAACTGATTCACCAATCACTGCGTCGATAGATGTAGCCAGTCGAGTACGGGTCTCTACTACAACAAGACCCTTCGTTCCTCGACGGTTTCCGTCGGTGCCCTCCCCTTGCCCTTCCTACACCCATGGTTTTACTGTGGGTTGCATGACGCTAGATACCACACCCTTGTGGGCCGATTTTCTACGCTCGACTACGTCATACAGTGCCAAATCCAACGATGGGGTTTAGGAAAGCGCTCTCGACGAGAGAGACGGTTCCACGGCCGCTGCCATTTTCGGCACCGCCAGTGATTTGTGCGGTAGATGTAATCGAGCTTAGAAAACCAGACCAGGGTGTGTGTGTTGTATATCTTGTGCAACCTACGGTATCGTACACACGGCAGCGTCAAGGCTATCACGGCGTCCCGTCGGCGTGCTGCGCTCTGCTGCGTTACCTGTTGCTCCTTGGCAAGGCCTGCCTGCTCCTCGACGGACTTCTGGACATCCTCTACGCTCGTGGCGTCCTGGACGTCGTACTTCTTGCCGCGGAGGGTCACCTTCACGCTCACGGGGCCAGCACCCTGCAACCAAAGCGCAGAGATAAAAACAAACCACGCCGGAGGAGGGGGATGGAGCGGGGGGGGGGAGAAGATGACTTGGACCGCCTTCGCGAGCATATTATTATTGATCTTTGACATATTGTAGAGACGGGAGGTTCGCGACCCTAATCCCAACCCCCCGGCCCACACCGCAACCCCTCCCAAACCAAGCTTGAAAAATATCCTCGCGAGGGCTACTGGAACATTTGGGGTGCGAAACCAGCATCTTTCAACTCGCGCGAGCCACACGACGCATGTAAGCGTGGGTTGGCGGCGAAGCGGTTGCTGGGGGTGAGGTCGACTTCGGGCGGCGATCTGGAGAGTCGGAGAGCAGCACTAAAACAAAAAAAACGAGGACTCACTCTGTTTCGCGTTGTCATATAACCAAAAGAGTCCCAACATTTGGGCATTGAGACGCCCGGAACTCGGCGTGTCGAGCCCAAACTACACCATAGCGGACGGAACGAATAGCCACTTTTTTAGAGAACAGCAGCAAGCTGCTTCCAAGTATGACCCTAACCTTCCACACGCGCTCCTTGCAAAGGGTAGAGCAGGAGAAGGGTCATTCTGAGCTCCGTGGGGAGGGTCAGTGGGCGATTCTTGCCTATCCGTACCTTGATTGTTTGTGCAATAGATTGCCGTGTGTCATGGCTGCTTCCCTCCACTCGATTAGAATTTAAAAGTTTCTCGACGAGAGGCGAGCCCGATTGCGCAACTGCTATCCGCCCTATCCCTTACTGCTGTCTTTTCGTTCTGGAAGCGTTGTGCGTTTTGCACAGCTCCGAGGAGTCCCTAATCTACAAGCCAACCCGCATTTCGTTCCCTTTAGGCCAACTCGAAAACTCAGCAATTTTCTCCCTCGGGGAAAGTTGTTGCTGACTGCTGTCTTCCGATAGCACGCGATGGCCTTCGCCCGTAGCTTGGGGGTATCATAGGACAGCCAGGACACGTTCGGTGTGGTACCCGGCTTGTGCTTCAACTTGCGAGCGGGTGAGAGCCACCGCGTCCCACACGCCACACAGCAGCGCCGCTACACACCCAAAGGGTTCACTGACATGGTACGCTTTCACTGGCGACTGCTGCTGGGTGCGTGCCGTGTGAGGGGGGCACGTGGAAGACTGCTATCCCAGCAAAAGCTCGCAGGGCGGGGGCGTCTTGGTAGGAACGAGAATCATCGGGTTGCTTCCGGGGGTACTACAGCAGTATCGTGGGAACCCTGCCGACAAGTTACACCCAGCCTCGAACATATCCTACACCACAAGTCGGGGGGCGTATGGCCAAAGTGCGAGCCATCCTTCCCATGCTTCATCGCTGCACAAGTACAACAAACGATCCATGGCCGCAACGTCTCCACCCGTCGGCGCGAAGAAGGAAGGCACACGTGTCGCGCCGACGACACACAGCAACCGCACAAACATGTGCGCGCGACCTTTCGCGCCCCTGCAAACCAAGATAGGCATACGCCAACCGAGCACCGACACAAGTTGATAGCACATCCATGGGTACCACACGCCAAGCCACGTCCATTACGCGGTTCCCACAGCAGCCCCACAGCCAGAGAGCTGTCCTATGGGCGCCCCTGAGGTGCATTTCGACATGGGGGAATCCTGCCACTCTGCTCGGCTGCTCGGCGCTCACGCAACAAAAAACACACTCACCCCGAGCACATCGACCGCGCTGCCAATGAGGAGCGCCGCCGAGATGAGAAAGCTGCTGGGCCGCATTGTTTCTGTCTGAGTGTTGTGAAGTGACCAGGGAACTGCACTGGTGTCGTGTAGCTGGTAGGCAGGTCCGAGGTTGGTGCGTGTGAGCGCGACGACTTGCGACTTGCGACGACCAGCTCGGGGGCACGCGATGGCGAAGGGGGAGAGAGTAGTGCTGCGTGTGCGTGACACATATAGTACCAACCAACGGCTCCCCCAGAGCATATTTGTGCAACAACCGGCAACCGGCACCTGCAACCATCACAACACAAGCTTGTTTTGGGCCTTTGGTGCGGAGCGGCTATCCGTGCAGAAGCGGGCACACCAACGGCGCCGACAGGGAAGGTATCGAAGAAAGCGATGTAGTGCGGCGTTAAAGGGTTTGATGTGGCGCGCCGAGTGCAGTTTTGTAGACATTCAAGGGCTACATACAACGGCGACATTTGAGAAAAAATGCATGTTTTTTTTCGTGGTGCTTGTCTGACAGCAGTTAGTTTGCGAATCTTGATTTGATCTAAATGTATGTGGCGACCACGTTTGCATACCATTCTCTCCCTGCCTCTCCGACTCTCACATGCTTTGACTTGTTGCCATATCGCATCGTCTACTACTGCTCTAGCCCTCAGCAGCAACGGCTGTCTCTCCCGCCGCACGCAGTGGCGAAGTTCAGCAGTCTTGCTCGGCCCAGTTCCCAACTCTCCGCCACGCTCCTCTCTCGCAGCGTCTTTCCAAACAACAACAAAAATTGAAAATTCAAACAAGTGGTTTGAAGTGGTAACACATCTTTTCGATTTGATTTCTGGAAGATAGATACGCGTGTATCAACATAGTTACCCCGGAGATTCATTGCGTCTGGTGTATCATGACGGTGGTGGACCAACGGTACTCTCTCTTGGACGATACGCCGCTGCGCTGCTGTAGGTCGAACCTCACATCGCCCGTTGAAGATCATGATGACTCTTTTTGCATAGGCGCCACAACGCTAAGAGTTTGAAACACTACATACAAATATGATACAACTATTGTACTCGCCTTTGCATAGAATACCGGGCACACAGCTCAATTTTCGGAACATGTGCTTCCCGACCATTCCGATTCTTATTCTTTGGTTTGGTGGCAGTTTCGGTCTCTCGCCTGCGATGTTGTGGATCACCATTGATTCTGGTTTTACCCTCCCTATCTATATATGCATATCTAGATATTTATACAGCCGTATCTGGTGTGTTGGGTTGTTGGGTTGGCTCTGGCCGAGCACAGTGAGAGTGAATATCTTTTTTGCCCTCCTCACAAGCGAGGGGGAGGGAAGGTGCCGGATGGTAGGTATGCTGTAAGCGGGATGATGGTGTTGTTCCGAGATCTCTGCTCAATATGATGTGTAAAATTGCGTGCATGTATGTACATATCCTCCAACATCCTTTTCTCAGGTTCAACTGACGACGACGAGGCCTGCCTGCCTTCGGCTGTCATCGGGCAAAAACCGTTGCCAGGTGTAGATAAGATTATTATTGCTGTCCGCGAACAAAAATTGGATACGTTACATTTATCAACATCAAAGATGCTCGTCGTATCTACTATCAAAACTTCTACTTGTGGTGCACGTAGGTACTGTATGCATGCAAGTTTGCTATATAATAAATGCAAGTATGGAACCAGATATTCCGCGTGGGTGGGGCGATGTACTTGCAACAAGGCGCAAGTGAGACCTGGTAGTAGGCGGGTACCGCCTTAATCGGGACTGCCCACTACATTATTTAGGAAGAAATTAGGGAAAATAGGTACACACAGAGAGAGGCTACCCATTTCGAGATATACAGATACACCCACAGCCGAAGGGTTTGCCATCGGGGTTGGGTTTTCGTCGCTTGGCAGCGATTTTGTAAAACGTGCCGCCCCCCCCCCCCTCGGTGTTTGCCGTCGGGGTTGGGTTTTCGTCGCTTGGCAACGACGTTGTAAAACAAGCCGCCCCCCCCGGTGTTTGCCATCGGGGTTGGGTTTTCGTCGCTTGGCAACGACGTTGTAAAACAAGCCAATTCACTTCGTGAACTCGGCAACCAGGTTACCGTTTTTTTTTTTTACCTTTGTTTTTTTTTTTTTTTGCGTTACCTAACCATAATTGTGGGCGAGCAGATCATGTTGTGGGGGGTGGAAAACCCTCACTCCGCGCAACGGGGGAAGATCGCACCACGTTGTGTTAAAATGATCAAGCATCCTCGAGGCAGTTACACAGTGCTTACAACTGTCTCTGGAAGTGAAAGCACCAGAAAATAAATTAAGTCATACGCAGCTGTCATCCGTACGCAAGGAAGTAAGCACAAGATGACGAACACCCTTAGCAGGATGCAGCTCACCCTTCATGCGACTCGCCAAATACCTCACGGCGCTTCGCGCTTGGTGATGTGAGAGCCTGGTCCGGTGAGAACCCGGCGTGCTCCGTCCCGGCTTTGTAGGGATGCGAGGTCAACGGTCTAACGACTACGGCATGCACGACCATGAGTACACCCCCCCCCCCCCCCGGAAACGCCTTTATTCAAGTTCGGCAGCATGGGTGCCGGTTAGCAGCACGTACTTGTACTTGGTAGTTTGTTGGAGGAGGTAGAATAACGGCCGCGACAAGTGCCCTTTGGAGAAGTAATGTTGGCATCTCGGAATACCGAGCTGTTGATCTTCGCCCCTCTCGCATGCGTGTTGTTCAAGGAAAAATAAATACACACACAGAAAGACTACCCATTCGAGATATGCATATGCCCACAGTCGAACGGGATGTGGTGGAGTCTTTTCAGTGAGTGGAGGAAAACCGGCTGGGTACTGGATTTATTTCGAGTCTTTTTAAGTCTATACACTGATGATTTATATCAGTGATGCCAGCTGGTGCTAAGTACAAAAACATCTGTATAGGTAACTTACATTTTACAATACATGCCCTGTAGTTCTCTACTGGGTCAACGACAAAATATCGGGGAGAATCCCTCCGTTGTGTCGTGTATTGTAAAATGTAACCTTCACAGGGGACACGGCGCAGCGTCTATTGACAGCTTGCTGGTTTGTTAGATATTAGGAATAATATTGTAAAAATAATGGAAGATGGAACGAAGGCTCAGCAGTAGTCTACATCACTCGTTTTTCAAACCTACAGATTTTTGAATTTCACGGGCAGCAGTTGTTTCCCGCCGTTTTTTTAATTTACAAAACGTGTTTGATCCTTTGGGGTAACGTATCTGATTCAGTGATGTTTACAGCAGTAGTTGAGAATGGTACACCTGGTGCATGGTAGGCAGGGCATAGCAGTCAGTTTGTATCATGTTAGCTTGTTTCTTGTTATGTTTGGTGTTGGTAAACACCATCAGTAGAGCACGGAAAGTTTTTAAATGATATACATCCAATGTGGCGGTTGTTGTCAACTTCCCTGGTGTTCCTCAGAGCGGCTTGCCGAGATATCTTGTCGCAACCATGTCGAAATCACGTTGTAGAGCATCCGTCTTGTTTGTACTAAGTACTTCGGAAGTACTTATTTTTCGTCGGATCCAAGCTGCCCTCTTTCGACTTCACGTTTGCTCACGAGGTGCGGGGATTCGTTGCTCCTCGTCGCACCGTGATCGTCCATGCGTGCTACCACAGAAGGCGTCCGTAGACGAACAGAGAGCTATTCTAGCACGGCGTGGAATTGTGATGTAGGGTTTCGAGGGAAAAAAGTCGATTTTGACCCAGTCAAGTGACAAAGTGTTGTGTGGCTCGGACAACTCGCGTCGATACGCGGTGCGCGGTGCGTGACCATATCTTTTCACCTTGCGGCGCAAGGCCCATAAAACTCAAGCCTCCTACTTCCATTTGGCCTCAATATTACGGCAACCGCTACATCTGCGATATTGAGGCATTCTCGAAACCCTTGTTCACAGATACGGCGGCTTCGGTTGCCCGATACAAAGCGGCGGTCATTCATTCCCAGCTGCCGCACTGCCTCCTCATTGTCGCCTCCCCCTCACCCTCGGCGAGCGAGAACCCGGCATATGGCTCCGTCCCGGCGTTGTCGGGGTGCGAGTTCAATGGTCTAACGACTACGGCATGCGTTTAGTTGAGTACACCCCCCCCCTGAGCGATGCCAACATTCATTTTTCAGTTCCAAGGGTACTTGTAATATCAGATGTGGGTTGTTTTGTCCACACGCACTCATGCCCCCCCGTGGTCCCTCCACCATTCCGACCCGCGCGCGCACCCCTTCGGTTCTCCACCCGTTTCACGGTTCCTCACGCAAAACACAAAATCAAACAGAATGGAGGGGGGACGGCAACCGAATCCCCCGCCCCCCCACCCGGCGCGGGCCTCTACGGGGGCTCAAGACCTTGAGACCCACGTCGCCAAGCCGCAGCCGGCAGGCGGCGGCTCCCAGCTGCCTGGGGGGGCCACCCGCCGGAGCGTTTCGTGCGACGGGCATAACGCGAAGCGAGAGGCACCGCGAAGCATCTCAACCAAGGCGGCGGCGGCGGCGCCACCACCACCACCGCCGCCAGCAGCAGCGGGAAGATCTCGGTCCAAATCGTCGTCGTTGCCGTCACCGCCGCCGCCGCCGCCGCCGCCGCCTCCGCCGCTGCACCGGATGGCACGAGCGCCATCGCTGCCTGCCGAGTCTTCCTCCTCGATCACTGGGGCCTTGCGGCGATACTTCTCGGCCGACCAGATGCCCAGCGACGCCGACGCCGACGCCGATGCCGACGATGGCGACCTGTCGCCGGCGGAGGCGCTGCCCACGCGCTCAGTCTTCATCGCCACGGCGGTGCTGGTGGGGAAGCGGAACAAGCAGCGGCACCTGCAGCACCAGCAGCAGCGGGAGGAGAGGACGTCGCCGAACTGGCGCGGGAAGGAGGAGGAGGGCGGGGTTAGCCGGAGCAGCGGCGGCGGCAGCAGCCGCGGCGGCGGCGGCGGTGCGAGCAGGACCCCCAGCCCTTCCTTGACGCGCCGGGTGTGGGCGTCCGCCTCCCCGAGGTTTGGCACCGGCGGCGGCGGCGGCGGCTGCGTCGGCGGCGATGGATGCGAAGGCTGCGTCGGCTGCGTTAGCATTCGGAGGCTGTCCAGCGGCAGCAGCGGCAGCAACGGCGGCAACGGCGGCGGAAGAGAGGGTGTGGACCCTGTCGCTCTCTGGCGGAGCTACAGCAGAGACGACGGCGTCAAAGGGGGCAGCGTTGCCCCGGCGACCGCCGCGGCGGCAAGCGCGGAGCAGAAGGCCAAAACGCCCGCGACTACCGTTTCCCCCATCGCCAGGTTCTACGACTACTGGAGACACTGCAACTTCCGACCGGCCTCGGCGGTGAGGAGTGCGACGAAGGACATGGCCGACGACATCCTGTCGACCGCGGGCGAAGACAAGGGAAGGATAACCGTCCCGGCGCCGTTGGATCCGGTCACTCCCGCGCGAGCAGCGCCGCGGACCCTGGCCACGAAGAGGAGCAGGGGGCCTCCGGCAGGCCAAGACGGTGAGCTGGTTGCCGGCGGCGGTAACGGGAGAGCCGGCAACATCGAGAGCGAGAGCGCCGCGGCCGCAGCCGCAGAGGCGAGGGAGGACAGGAAGGACCGAGCGGAGGCCGGGGCGAAGGCCAGGACGGCCTTTGCCGCCGCGGCAGTCGCGGAGCGACGGACGGAGGACGCGAAGCTTAGGCTCGGGGAGCTGAGGTTGCGCCCGGACAACAGGTAAGAAGAAGCGCGCTCGGACTGCTTCACTGCTTTAGTCGCGCCGTTGTGCCAGGGAGGGTGCGGAGGGGGGGGGCATCCGGCATCTTGTGTTTGTCAAGACGGTTCCTCTGACCGACGACGGATAATAACCGCGGCCTGCCCCACATCTCGCTTGTTTGTGTGATGATGTTCCCCCTCGCGTGCGCGCCGCGCCCCCTGTGTTTGACCTCGGTTCCGGATTTCGATTTTTTTTTTTTTTCGTGCAGCCGCTGCGCGGACTGCGGAGCGCCTTGCGCCGACTGGGCTTCCGTCGCGCACGGTTCTTTCGTGTGCCTCAAGTGCGCCGGGCAGCAACGCAGCCTCGGGATGCACGTGATCTTCACGCGGTCTCTCGTCATGGACAAGTGGACGGGTGAGCGTTGCGAGGGGTGCAATAGCTCTGCTATCAAAACATTTCTCGCTCGATTGGTTGGGGGTCCAGATGTGTTACCGACGTTTCGGTTGTGGCTCGCGCGCGCGCTGTTTGTCGTGGTAATGGTCGCGTGCCTGCCCTGCGGGCTGATGCCGTTGTTGTGGTTGCTGCTGCTGCTGCTGCTGCTGCGTGATAGCCACGAAACTCCCACATGGCTTCTTCAGCTACCACGCCAGCGTTCCCGACGCCGGGTGCGAGATTTTCGCCCCACCTTGCGCCCCCCCCCCGCTTTTTCCCTTGCCCTTGTTTTTTTTGTTGTTGCGGGAACCATCTTGGTGGTCGAGTAGATAATGTTGCGTGCGGGGTCGAGAACCTTCACTCCGCGCAAAGGGGATAGTCGCACCACGTTTTGTTGCGTAGGTCAAGCACCCTCGAGGCAGTTACACAGTGCTTCCATCTGTCACTGGAAGTGAAAGCACCAGAACATAAGTCAAGTCATTCGAAGCTGTCATCCGTATGCAAGGAAGTAAGCACAAGATGCCGAACACCCTTTGCAGGATGCGATGCACCCTTCATGCGACTCGCCGAATACCTCACGGCGCGTCACGCTTGGTGATATGAGAGCCTGGTCCGGTGAGAACCCGGCGTGCTCCGTCCCGGCTTTGTAGGGATGCGAGGTCAATGTTCGAACGACTAGGGCATGCACGACTATGAGTACACCCCTCTCCCCCCCCCCTGCCCGCTACACCCTCCCTGACCCCCCTATCCCGACCCAGACGAAAGCCTTCGCCTCATGGAGGCCGGCGGCAATAAGCGATTGGCGGAGTTCTCGAGACGGATGGGCCTCTACCCGTGGTCCACCGTGGAAGAAAAGTACCGTCACCCTTGCCTGCCGCTGTACCGGAAGCGCCTTGCCGCCCTGGCGGACGGGGAGAAGCCGCCGCCAATCTCGAGGGAAGCCCTGGAACAGGCGAGAGCGTTTTTTTTTGTGATTACAACGATCGTGGAGGGGGGTGACGAAAGTGGTGTTACTGTTTTGTAAGTGGTGGAGGTAAGGGGAGGGGGGGGGGGGGGGGG